CCCGCCCCCGGAGCCCCAAGAGCCAACGCATGGAGGGGAGGGGGGGCAAGACCACCGGGACGACAGCACGCCGAGAAAGGGAGCAGAGCCCGTGGATGGGCCGTCGGCCGCCGCCGCTGATGCAGAAGGCTGCGCCCCGCGACGCATGCCTCCAGCGCGCAGGAAGAAGACGCCCCTTTAGCCGGCGACGCAACCGGCGGCGGCGAGGGGAGGGAGCCTGGAGAGGGGGGCTGGGAAGCGGCGGCGCTAGGGTTGGCTTCCTTAGTCGCTCGACTCGGGAGCCGACAGAAGATATGAAATTCGCTATCCGGCCTCAGATTATTCGGACGTGAATGAGCCGCATGTATTACTGACGTGGAATATACAAGGATCGAGGTACAGAACTTACTAGGATGCGCACGAACGCACGACGGAGCAAAGTGGAGGATATCGGCGTGCCACTTTTTCTTCTTGCACGCCGACTTTGCGCCGATACGGCGGTGGGCGGTGGTGAGTGGAGGATGATAGATCTGCTCGCCGCCGCGCGATCGTAGGGCCGGGCGAAAGCTTGTGACGATTGGAGCGACGGAATCCTGGCATGCACTCGCGTAGTCGATGGAACCTGACAAGCACCCGTGTCCATGGCATGGCTTGGTCGGCGAATAATTGGCGGTGCGCGTGTGACGATGGCCACTGTAAAAGTGGATCTCCTGTACGTAGCGTGCGTGCGCTGGTATGTACAGGGGATCGAACGGCAGACTCCGCCGGCCCGTGCTCCAGGTTTCGGAAGAGGGCGAGAGCGAGTGGCCGGAAAGAAGAGAAAACGGAGCGCATGTCCTGGGGAAGAGACACCCAGTGGGCGACGTACATGTCCATGTTGGCGTATCACGAATCATAAGCCATGAAAGCATTTCCGATGTGATGTGTGGTGTCCTTTGCCCGGTGCTCGAGGTTACAGTGCAGTTTGTGGATGTGGAGTACGTTCTCCGGTCCCCGTGGCACCAGGTCGTTCACGGTGGAGCGGGTCTTTGTGTTTTTTCTTATTTCAGAAAATTAAACACACCAGATTTTGTGATGGTAGAAATACAAGGTTTAGAATGGTAATATGACCGACACTATGCTCCCTGCGGTTTGAAATGTGTTCTTTCTTTCTCCATGTCACACGGTTCATTGATCGCCAACACCATTTCGGCCACAATCATCATGAACATCGAACAACGACGGTCCTCCTTGGCTCTTTGCTGCCTTTCGGTTATTGAAGTTGATGTGTTTTTTTTATAAATGGTGCTTTTATTGACTTAAAATGTAGCAATAAATGCATACAAATTATATGAGCAACATGTCCCTTCAACTGCATACACGCTAACCAAAAAAAACTGCATACACGCCGCATTGAGCAGCGGTTGACACTATACCTGGCCATGGACCGGGCTTGGGCCAGGCCTAAAAAAAGTCCACGGCAGAAATCTAAGGCCCAGGCCCTATCATCGGGCCTACTTTTCAAGCCCAAGCCCGACCCATCTGGTAAAAAGCCCTGAAAAGCCCTTAGGGCTTAGGGCTGTGGGCCGGGCCTCTTTCTTAAAATGCCAATATGCCAAGCCCAAGCCCATCCAGGCCTTGCTGGTGGGCTCAAAACTCAGGCCCAAGCCCGGCCCACGGGCAAGCCCATCAGGCCTAGGCCCTGGATTTTAGGGCCGGGCCTGGGTGCGCCGACAGGGCCGGGTCAGAGACGGCCAGGACTAGTTGACACTTTGTTTGATGTAGTGTAGACCATGTATGAAGCGAGTGCGTACAGCGGAGAATAACCAGCAAAGGACAAAAATGTATTCATAAAATCAAATCATTTCTACATAGTCAAATTGAGGATAACAAGACATACACTCCCACTTTTATTAGCGTTTTGAACTTATCTGAAATATCGCCCAACCAATGACCAAAAATATTGACAACACTTGTACGTGGATGGATACAAATTATATGCTACATGAATGGCCATGCAGAACGCGCAAACTTACTATGA